TTTATTTATAACAGAACTTGCATATTTTAAATATTAACAATAGCTAAAGTGCTTTCAAGTATGTAAACTTTTATTTATAACAGAACAGGAAGATTTGAAATATTAACAATGGGTAAAGTGCTTCTAAACATGTAAACAGGAAAGTGCAACAAAACGGGAATCTGAACAAAGGGTATCATGATTATTGTGTCTTTGTTCGCTTCAATGTATAGTCCGAACCATTTTAAGAAAATTTAACAATGTCCGCTTCATGATTACACTGCCCAAGACGCTCCACTCTTTTGTCCCTCCAAGGGCACCTAACCCAAAAGCTGGTCGATGTGTCCGGGGATAGAGGCGAGATCCCCCGGGGAGAACTCCTCATAGGCCTCCTGCAGGTGTCTTTCCAGCCTAATTATCAGGTTCTTTGGCAGGGAGAGCTTATTAGGCCCCCCGTGGTAAGAAACGTTTCCCTGCCACAACGCCAGCAGGTATTCGGGGATCATGGCCTTGCACAGCATAGCAGCAAATGGCCCCGGTTTCTGCAGGCTGTCCCAGAGCATCCTCTCCTTCTGGCTCTCCGAGACCCTCAGGAGGGTGATGTCTGGCATGACGCCCTGCTTTGAATTAGGTAGGGGAAAGTTAGTATTGGGACTGCTTGCCCGTTCCTTTACAGAACTGCAACCGCCGGTTTACAGCCACGCGGTTTACAGCCGCGAGGGGCTGGGACAGGGGCAGAGTTCATGCTTGCAGGATTGCTGCCAGCAGAGACTCGCATTGCTTTCTATGTGAAAGGAGGCCAGTGCCACTCTTAAAGTTTTAAGCAGCCACAAGTCTACGGCTTACCATGTTTTCCAGCTAGACAAAGTCCGGTGTCCTGCCCCGCTCCTCAGCTCGCCACAGCAAGACCGCAGGCACTGTAGGCCAGGGCCGAAAATTCGACCTTGTCCTCAGTGCGCGTGTGATAGGTGCTCTGCATGGTCTTGTTCACAGAGAAAGACTATGTTCTCTGTTCACAGATACATTGATCTGTTTCAGGAATTCACTCCCTTTTTCCAATTCCCACAGCCACATCTGCCCAGAGGCTAGCGCACATTAGGAGGAGGAAGAAGAGGACACGGGAAGACATGTTTGCTGAACTAATGGGATGCTCCCGAGCACAGGCAGCCCAGCAGACACAGTGGAGGGAGAACTTGTCCCAAATGCACCGGGCAAACATGGAACGGGAGGAGAGGTGGCGACAGGAGGACCAGCAGGCGACTCAAACGCTGCTTGGACTAATGAGGGAGCAAACGGACACGCTCCGGCGCCTTGTGGATGTTCTGCAGGACCGGAGGCAGGAGGAGAGAGCCCCGCTGCAGTCTCTCTCTAACCGCCCTGCCCCGCCACCAAGTCCCAAAGCCCCCTCACCCAAAGTCCAAACACGGAGGGGCGGCAGGGGCCGTGAAAACTTTCACTCCACCCCAGCGGACAGCTATAGCACTAGAAGGCTCTCATTCCCCAAAATCTGAAAAGTCCTTTCCTACCCGCCTCACACAAGACCCCGTCCAAGTTTCACCCCCCCGTTCCATGTGTGGTTGTTAATAAAAAATACGTTTCTGTTCATTACTGTTTCCATCCTCTTCTTTTGGAGGAGAGTCTGTCTGAAGGGGGGGGGAAGGGGCTTGGTAATTAGACAGGACAGTCACCTTTAGCAGGGGGCAGGCCCAGCAGCAGGGCACATACACAGTGCAGTGACTAGTTACCCTGGTCAGTCTGGGAGGTGGCTTTCTTGTTCTGTGGGGGGGGGGGGGGGGGGGGG